AGTCAGAAGAAGGAAAAGAGGGCGAGAGAGGGAGGGAGGGCCGAGTGGGGGGAGAGGAGAGAGGAAGGAGGAGGAGCAGACAAGAGGGCTCGGGAGAGGGCAGTGGGGGGGCTTCATCTTGGGCCCATATCTAACTTCAGACTGCGCTGTCCACCCGGAAGTCCTACGGGCCCCTTCAACTCAGTGTGACCCTCTTTTTCTCCCCACTCCCCCAAAACCTTCCTACCCACTTGCCCTGCACACCTGTTCTTCACTGGACTGTTGGGGGTTGCCCTCGCCTTCCCACGAGTCTCAGCCTTGGGGGCCCATCAAGCCTTCTCCGTCTTCCTGTCCCTTGCGCCCATGCTGCTTCTGACCGGCCCCTGTCCTGTCCTTTTGTGATTCTTCCAGCCCCCCGTGGCCTCTGCATCTCCTTAATCCATCCCCGCGAGTAGCCAGTGGGACCACCCGAAAAAAGTCTCCAGCTCCCTCTCCTGCTGTGAGCCCTTCCCCAGCTCCCAGTGCCACTCAGCTGGCCAGTCTGGTCCCAGTTTCTTTTCTACTCCAGGTCTGGCCTTTCCAGGGACGGGCCCCCTCTATGCCCACTGAAGAGTCCACCGCTTCCCAAACGTCCTGTGCTGGACTCCACGCATTTCCCTGCACAGTCCATGGCATCTGGACTGCTTCCCCGCAACTTCCTGGCAGATGTCCCTCCCCACCTGGACAGCCCCTCCTCCTTGGCTCCTCTCAGCCCCTCTGCAGGCCCCCTTCCCACACCCCTACCGCAGCCTCCAATACTTTGCCCCAAGAGGAGATCATTTCTCCCTCTTCTGTCTGTCCTGCCTCTGGCCTCAGATTCTGACTCATCTGTGTTTCCCCTGGGGCCTGGCACCAGCCTGGAACCTGGTACTGGAAGAGCATGTTCTTCCCCAACTCGAAGCCCTGTGGGAGCTGGCTTTTCTCCTGGAGGAAGGTTGGTGGGTTTTAGGCAGAGGAGGTTGTGCTTAGGGCTGAAGGAAGCTGAATAGAGTGGAAACGACACTGCCAGACAGGGAGGAGGAGGTAGGGCCCTGGCTTGGTAGGGATCCATCCTCTCTGGTGAATGTAAGTTCAGAGAGGGCCAGCCACTTGTCCAAGATCACACAGCAATTTGAAGCAAGGCCAGGACTTCGACCTAGATTGTCTCACTAAGAGGCTTTGCTCCTCAGCCATTCTGGGGAGGTCTGGCAGGGTGCGTGTGGGGCATGGCATGCAGGTTCATGTGGCTGGGTCTCCTCTGCCCCTCAGAGACACTAGGGGGTGGGCCCATTATCACTGGAAGGAGGGGCTCGAGGCTGGCAGAGCTCTGGTAGGAGGAGGCCTGTCTGAGTTTTTGATGCTCACACTTTGTGGACCCCTGGGGAACGCCTGAGTCATCGCTGAGCCGGCAAACATATTTAGCTCCTTTCATTGTCCCTAATAAATCAATTTCTCCAGGTCTCTCACACCTGCCGCTCGATTGCTGGCTGCCTGCCCCCCACCTCCTGCCCCTTGGCTTCCAGGTGCAGGGTCCCACTGCCAGCTCTGGGTTACCCGGTGTGCTGCCACTCCTCAGGCACTAGGCAGGGGACCCCCTTACCTTCTCAGAGCCCCCATGCCCTCTCCTACTTCATCCCAGGGCACTCTGTGCCACATTTGTCCTCCCTCGTTCTGTGATGGCCTCTGTTCAGCAGCCCAATTACTGAATCTCCAGTCAGAGCTTGAAAAGGGGCATAGTGGCCTTGGAGATGCAGGGATTACAGTATTGAGCACACAGCTCAGCTCATGCCAGGGCCCAGCCACCCTCAAACTTGGATCCTTTGGGCCCACTGGGGCTTGTTTTGGGGGTCCAAGGGAAGCCCAAGAAATACCTTGCCTTGTTATACATCCTTGTCATGGCTCCTCCTGGCCCCGCTGGCCGGAAGAGCCAGGTTTCCACTTTGCTTATCTTGAATGGGCACCTCTCCCAAGAAGCCTTCCTGGATCTTCACCACCCCCATCCCCATGAATCCTTCCTCCTCGAATGGCCTCAGCCTGCAGTATTTCCATGAAGGCATGTACACATTCTGCCTTGTAGAAGTAAATAAATTAATAATAATAATAATAATGATGATGATGATGATGATGATGATGATGATGTAGCACTTAATGCTAAATAGGTGCTCAACACTGTTCCAGGTGTTTTGTCCATATTTAATTATTCCCATTTTATAGATGGGAAATCTGAGGTTCAGAGAGCTTAAGAAGTTTGCTTAAGACACAGGGTAGAGGTAGCCCTTGAACCCAGGCCCTCCGGGTGGTCCTCACAACTCCTCCTGTGGCCTTTCACAGCAAGAGGCTCTTGTGGCCCCTCTTCATGTGCCACTCCACCCCTATACCTGTCTCAGTTCACCTCAGGGCAGGGACTGTATGGTGCCCAGGTCTGAGAATCCCTTGCACACGGAAGTCCCCGTTAAAGGTTGTCATGGAGGCCCTCTGGCCCAACTCTTCAGGGAGGAAGACCACACCCAGAGAGGGTAAGCCACGAGTCCAGGGGCCCACAACCAGAAAGTGAGAGAGCTGGGTGTCCCGACTCCCAGACTGAGCCCAGCATGAAGGGGCAGGGAGGCCCGTGCACATCTGTGCCACGGGCGTCCCCGTTGGGCCGGTCAAGCCTGCAGGAGCTGGTAGACCAGGAGCCTCCCCTGGAAGGCTGCTCAGGCCAAGGCTCTGCTACAGGCAGAGGTTCTGTCCCAGCCCGGGCTCCTGCCCCAGTCCCACAGCCCCGTGGGAACTTCTCATCCATGTGTGATGGGAGCCCCCTGCTGTCCAGAGCAGGGAGTGGCGGACCAGCGGGAAGGTGAGCAGAGGCCGCCCAGGGGAGAGGCAAGGGGGCCTGGGCCAGCGAGTCGGGGCCCACCCACTTGTTCCGGATTGTGCTGTGGCCCTGTCCACCTCACCCGCCACTCTCTCCACCCACTAGCAGCACCACGCTTCCCACAGTGCCTTACGTGTCCAGACATTTGCACCTGCTGAGGCCCAGGGGCCATTTTCGTTGGCTTCAGTCTAACCAACAATTATTGTGCACCTACTGTGTACTAGGCACTGAGCAGTGACAGACCGTGAGGAGTTCTCAGTGTGTGTGTGTGTGTGTGTGTGTGTGTGTGTGTGTGTGTGTGTGTGAACAGACATGAGCTGCACCCAGTGAAATCTCAGGTGTGTGTCTTTTTGCCCCTCTGGCTGCCAACGCTCAAGCACAGCGCCTTTGAGAAGCATCCCCAGGTTGCCCCTTGCCCAGCCCAGCCTCCACAGCCCCTGTGCCCCTGTCTGTAACAGCATGGGTCGGCCTGGGCTGTCACTGCTCTGTTGCACCTGTCTCCCTCACCTGATCTGAGCTCCTTTTGAGGGCAAAGGCTTTGTCTTAAACATCTTTGGATCCCTGGCTGTGTGTGCAGAACCTGGTACACAGTAGATGCTCAATAAGGGGAGCTGAATGAATATGTGGATAAGGTGGTCGGTCCAGTGCCTTAAGGTCTTTCGGAGTGACTCGCTGGTGGAGTTTCAGGCAGGGGGCTGGGTTAGGGGGCGGGAGCCACCTGGGTGCCCTACACATCCGAAGGGGTGTAGAGTCTTAGAATTCAGAACCACCAGAGCGTAGGCCCCACGTGGGGAAGGACTTCCATCTTGTTCCACAAGTAACTGGAACACTGAAGTTACTTAATAAATGTTGTGGAAAGTACAGATAAGTGGAGGTTACTGAACTCAAGCCCCTTTGTGATCATCGGAGCCAGCCTGTGCTTGTATCCCTCCACAGACAGGGAGCTTACTACCTATCTCCTGAGGCAGCGGCTCTTTCTCTAACACCATGCTGCCTTGGGAAGTGTTTGCCTTCCCCTGGCTCTCCCTGGCCCGCTCTAAGGGAACCCTGTGGAAAATCCAGCCCCCCAGGGACATCTGTCCAGTGTGGCAGCCCCAGTGTCCTGAAGAGGGTCCAGTGCCCTTTGAGTGTCCACTCTTCCCTGTTTGGCCTTTCTGTCCTCAGCTAGGAAAGTGACGATGGTGAAGGGCCAGGGCGGGGTCAAGGATGGTCACAGAGGACAAAGCCCCGCTCATGGGGGGGCTCACGAGCTTTATTCTCTCTTCTGAGTGATTCCCAAACAGCCACTCACGGCCAGAAACCACTGATTCTACCCGCTCAGTGACAGAGAGGAGCTGAGGACCAGAGAGCGGGGAGGGAGTGCACCAAGACGACACAACCACTGTATGCCTGTGGCAGGAGAGGACCTCGGACGCCATGAGTCCCAGATCAGTGCCCTCTCCATGACCCCTGGCTGCCCTTTCATGGGCCAATGTGGTGGCAGAGGTGGCGCTCAGCTCCCAGGCGGACGTGGGGTCTGTGGAAGTCCTGAAATGCCCTGCAGGACCTCCTCCTGCTGTTGCCCAACCCAGACCCTCTTCAGTGCAATGTCATCTCCAGGCACTGGCACGCTCCCAGAGACAGGACCTCCCTGCCCCATGAGTCAGCTACTCCATCCTGACCCCATGGAAGGTGCGCGCTGGGGGTGGGGGTGAAGGGCAGGAGGAGCTGCCTCCCCTCCCCTGGGGAGCCACTTGCCTGCTGAGGCTGGTGGTGGGGCAGAGGCAACCTCATATCCTGCTTTTCTGCCAGGGAGCTTCCCTCCAGGGCCTCCCCCAGGGCCCGGGTGAAGGCGTGAGAAGTGCTTCTCAGAAGCTTGTTCGTGGAATCCTCCTCCAGGCTGGAGCCTCGCTGGAGACTGAGCCACCTGCCAATGTGCTAAGTCAGCTCAACTCTGGATGGTGCTGCCGCAGAGGGTCTCAGGATACAGGGACCCAGTGGGGCCGCCCCTCACTACCACAGGACCCACAGTCAGTGGTGTCGCAGGAAAGCCTTGGCTGAGACTCTGCCTTGAGCTTCTGTGCTACTCATTGGCTTGGCCGCTGCCTCCAGGCAGCCCTCTTGGTAACCACACCTGCCAAACTTTCTCTTCTTGGCTTCTTGATTGTATCACCAGTCCTGCTGCAGCACGTCTCTCTGGGGTTACTCTGCCATTTTCTTGAGGACCCTTACCTGCTCCTCCCCCGAAATGGACCTCCTGAGGGTGGAGCCCACTCTGCTCTCAGTTCTCCAGCAGCTTTAGGTCCAGAGTCCCCTCCTGCTCAGTAAATAAGTGCAGATATCTCCAGCCCGAAGCTCCTTAGGGAGCCCTGTGCGATGTTCTGCCGGAAGGAAGAGTCTGAGAGGAGGGAGGTGGCCAGCGCACCGGCCGTGCCTACTGTCCCCGGCGGGGTTGCAGGGAGCACAGTCAGTGGCCCCATGACATTTCCCTCCAAACACTGTAGTTTTCCAAGAACAAGAGGAGGAGTGTGACTTGGGCAGAGGGCACACAGTGCGTCGGAGACAGAGCTCAGGGGCCCATGGCCCTTCCCACCGTGAGGACCGATGGCATTTCAGAGTGCAAGGAGACTTTCACAGAAGAGGAAACTGAGGCCCAGAGAGAAGCTGGGGGGGCCGGGTTCTGGGGCTGGTTCCTCTTCGCCTGCTTTCCTCAGGTCTCTCCTGGCAGCAGCTGGGAGCTGAGGGGCCCCACTGCCCACTCTGAGCCCTCGGCAGTTCCAACCTACCCTCCTGAGCTCTATCTCCCCCTCCTGTTGGCTTGAAGTAATGTGGGAGGGGGAGGGTAGCTGCAGGCGAGTCTCCAGTTATCACAGTCATGGGGTACCCCAGATGCCTGGCCCCCAGCACCACCTCCCAGGAAGCTCACTGCTTGCTGGCAATCTTCTTCTTCCGAGCAGAGACCAGATCATAGAAGGGGACCCGGGTGATGCTGGCTCTGGAAGGAAAGTAGGTAAAAAGGTTTCAGGGCTGAGCTGACCATCAAAGGGGTCTTATCTCCGAGGGCTTGCAACAGGTGTGGGTGTGTCCCAAGGAGGTGTCAGCTTGCCCCACTGCAAGGGAGAGGCCAGATGACCCCAACCTGGACAAGGCCAGGGTGAGTCCAGCCTCCCTGGCCTAATCCAGAGTTCCACGGGCGGGGCTGGAGAGAATAAGAGAGAGCTGAGAGCCTTAGAAATTCTGCCTCCAAATGTCCCTGGACCCCTTTCCAGGCTCCTATCGAACTCTTGGAAGAAGATGGAAAGAGCCTGGGTGGAGTCAGCAGATCTGCGTGCTCTGTCCCTCACTGGGCGAGTCCCTCCCCTCTCTGGGCCTCAGTTTTCTCGTCTGTAAAATGAATTAGTCCTGGCAGCCTCACAGGGCTGCTGCGAGGCCTGAGGGCAAAGACCCTGCAAATCTCTGGGACACGGTCCAGGTCCAGAGACTAGTCCTGGCTCTTCCTCTGGCCTACAGGACGTGCCTTTGCCTGCGTCTCCTCACGGGCTCAGAGTTGAGGTTGTCGGACTGCCCCTCACCTGGCTCCCTTCCAAGGGTCCCTCCATTGACCATCTTAGTAAATCCAGGCCCTGCACTGTGGCCTTTCTCACCTGGCCATATCCTTTCTGTATTTATCAGTCTGTGGCTCCCCAGTGCCCCCAGGAGAAACCCAAGCTCGTTGCTATGGTGACCAAGGCCTCACCATTCTTTGCAGCCTCATCTCCTACTGCTCAAACCCCACAGGGCCTGTCCCTGCACATCCAGGTCCCTGAACTGCCTGGTATTTCCTGGTCCCACACTGCCCAAAACCGGCTACCCAGGACCCTGGGGTGCTGTCCAGGTAGGTCACACACTAACTTGCCCGCTCGTTTTTGTCTGCACTGGTCCTTCCACTTAGAAAACCCTTCCCTTCACCTCCACCAGGTCTTTCCAGGGCTAACGAGAATGCCTGCACCTCCCATCAGCCTCATGAAGTTGGCGCCTCAGTCCCCTGTGTCCCGGGGCCTGGCATTGTACCTGCACAGAGGAACTGCTCACAGAATACGGGGCAGAGAGATTTGCACGCCAGAAACAGGAAGGAGATTCCGGAGTTAGCCCCCTTTGCGGCCAAGGAAACAAGGCCCTGAGAGAAGCAGGGGCTTCTGGGAAGTGACAGGAGGCCCATGCCCAGCAGCTGGCTGCTCCTTACCGGATGGCCTCGATCCATTGGTCCCTCTCCCCCGCGCTGGAGGCTGAGATCCGGTAAGACTCGTGCTTGCCCTCCACCACCTTGCCGTCTCCATCGGTCTTACAGGCTTTGATCTTCTGGCCCCGGCAGCTGGGGTTGTAGAGCTCAAGGCAGAACTGTGGGGAGGTGGCCAGGTGAGGGCAGCGGAACTGGGCTCTCCAGAAGGCTCACAGAGGACTAGACACTTGGGCAAGACCAGTGCTGACAAGTAGTAGCACAAGCCCCGCCCCAGGCCTGCCTCCTGTGAGAAGTGAAGAGGCAGGTAAAAGGTCCATGGCCTCAGGAGGGCGACTGAGACAACCCTGAGCCTGCCTCCTTCCCCACCTCCCCCGCCCCCCAGAGGGGCTGCTCCTGGTCTAGCTTCCTGGAGAGCCCAGCCCAGCCGCCCTCTCCTCCCGCCCTGTTTCAGAAATTCCCCCAGTCCCTCCCGCCTCAGGCCCCACCCCGACACCTACTGGCTTCTTGGGGTCATCCACCTTCTGCACTGAGAGGTTCTCAAGGGGTATGATTCCCCGTGGCTCCTTGTCCTGCGGAGGAACAGCAGGGAGGGTCAGAATCAGCAAATGGAGCCCTGAGGCAGAGGACAGGGAGTGAACAGGTGGGGCTCCCCAAACCCAAGAGCAGTGCACCCATCTTTCCGGATTCTGTCCAGCCCTGGAGGGGCTGGGAGAGCAGCATGGGAGGAGCCCTGACTGGGAATTAGGAGACCCGACTTTAAGCCCTTGGCCCAGCCCCTTCTCCTCTCTGTAGCTCAGTTTTCCCCATCTGTAAAATGGGTGTGGAGGTGGAGCACGTGAGGGGCCCCTAGCTCTGTGAGTCGACTGCTTAGTGGGAGTCTGGAAGGGGCTAGGGACAGGGGAGAGAGGCGGGGCGGGGG